AGAAACCAGCTCAACCCTTTGCCAAAATTCTGCAGTAAATGGCCAGTTTGCTACAAAATGAACAAAGGAATAACAGAATAACAGAGTTGGAAGGGATCTTGGAGGTCTTGTGACCCAACCCACAGCTCCAGCAGCAAACCCTTATACCATTTCAGACAAGCGGGTGTCCAGTCTTTCTTAAAAACCTCCAGCGTTGGAGCACCCACAACTTCTGAAGGCAACTTCTGTTCCTCTGGTTAATTGTCCTCACTGTTAGGAAGTTTCTCCTTAGTTCCCTGTTGTTTCTCTCCTTGATTAGTTTCCATCCATTGTTTCTTGTCCTGCCTTCAAGTGCTTTGGAGAATAAGTTGACCCCCAGATCCTTAGAGATGGGAACACTGTTATCATGACATCCCTAGTCCTTCTTTTCATTAGAGTAGGCATATCTAATTCCTGCAACTGTTCTTCATATGCTTTGGTCCCTAATTATCTTGGTTGCTCTTCTCTGTACTTTTTCTAGAGTCTCAACATCTTCTCCTTCTTTCTTTTTTTTTTAATATCGTGGTGACCCAAACTGAAACTAGAATAATTCTCTGGCATTGCCAAATAACTTTGGACACAAATCTCCTTGCTTCCTCTACAATCCCAAGGAAATCCTTCATCTATTCAGTGAAAAACAGCCGTGCAATATAAACCTCTGACTCACGAGGAAGAAAGAAACGAGAGTTGTGACTTTTGAGTTTAGATTGCAAGGAAGGGCAGGCTTCCTCACCCCACATGCAATTGCCCCGGACATCTCCACCCATCCAGAAACATGTTTTTATTTTGCTTTTAAACTTGCCTGCTGTTGCAAAATGAGCCAGATGCACTGCTCATCCAACATATTCGTACCTACACATCTCTCTCCTTTTTTGTCCTGGAAGTTAAATTATAGAAAGCCAGGCTGATGACTGATTTAAGGAACTTCATTGGGTTAAACCACTTTTTTCCCCCTCGGCAGCTAAAAGCAAAAGAGAAAAATTCCTTCTGACGTTAGCCAAAGAAAAGCAAATGCCCAGCGATTTGAATGCCAAGATGAAATGAACTTGACAGGGAAATCAAATCATTTCACCCAAAAAGAATCCACCCACACGTTGCATCTAGGTCAATAGCTTTAAGTAGGCAGCTTGCAAATAGAGTCACGTGGCTGGTCAAATGTTTCTGTTTTGATTCGAGACATTTATTAGCCATCATTCAGCTGAAACCTATGTGAGATTTGCTCAAAGACTCAACAACCAAGAGAAATATGTTCAGGACAAGGACACTGGGCCAAAGGCAACAGGAAATCATTGAAACCAGGCAAATAAAAATTCTTCCAGTTGGCCTCACAAAAGCAGAACTGGTGTTTGGCAAACTTCATTGAGGGAGCAAGTTCTAAAGAAACCATTTTTCTCAATATTATTTCTACTGGTGATGGAGCAGACTTGTAAAAGGACACACTCTTTAGTGTCTCTTTACAGCTTTAAACATCTACCCTGAAGTGGGCCATGGACCACTATTGATCATTCTGGAGTCGCACGAAATATCACCATTGCCATTTTGAACATACATTATTGGTATTCTACATCAGAACAAGAAGCAATGGACAGAAGCTGATCAAGGCGAGAAGCAACCTAGAAGTATGGAGAAATTTCCTGACTGAGAAAATAGGGGGAAGAAGGGGCATCGGATATAACTTTGCCAACTTGAATTGTTTATAAAGAAAAATAATAAAGGCAAGATATAAACAAATAAAATAAATAAATAAAATCTCTCTCTCACACACACTCTTTGTGTATCTACTAACATCTACCAGTAATACTCCCCTCTCTGTCTGTCTGTCTCTCTCTCTCTCTCTCTCTCTCTATCTACCTACCTCTCTCTCTTATCTCTCTCTCTCTTATCTCTCTCTGTCTATCCACTAACTTACCTGTCTATCTGTCTGTGTGTGTGTGTCTGTCTGTCTGTCTATCTATCTCATCTTTCTCTAACTTACCTACCTACTGTACTTACCAAATCTCTCTCTTTCTCATCTATCTACTAACTTGCCTACTTACCTATCTATTTGTCTGTCTGTCTGTCTGTCTGTCTGTCTGTCTGTCTATCTATCTATCTATCTATCTATCTATCTATCTATCTATCTATCTATCTCATATACACAGAAAAATATATTTTTGTGTGCATATACACACATGCACACCATTCTCTTCTTGCCCTGGACAATTATTTCAATACATATTTAATAGTGGTGTTGGCCATTATTGTGTTATCTGATGAACTGGGGCAGGGAAAGCGTGCTATGACCAAAGGTTTAGTGGGTAGTGTAAAATCCCTAATCTCTGGATGTGGAGATAGATGCAAAAGCAAATACATCATCCGTTCTTCCCTTGGCTCTCTGCCAAGTGCCTCCCAACCGATAACATCCACCTAATATTCAGAATGCCAGGCAATCATTTAAATAACATAAAAGCCTTTTCTTGTAGCAGATCGAGGCCGCAGATAAAATGCGATAAGCAGGATTTACGCAGCTTCTTCTTCTACGCTATTCATCAATACTTTTCATTTCATTCCAGGAGCTAATTGATCATTTATGACTGGATGTATCAGTGATGCGATCATCAGGCTAATTTAATATTTCTTTGATGATCATTATCCACAATTTTTTCCACTTGTTGGGTCCTTTTCTTATTTTAAGGGGGAATGTTGCAAATCCATTTGGATTCATACTATTGTCCATTTATATTGTTTACCCAGCTCAAGATTTTACTGTGTGATCTTCTCTGTAGTTCTTTAGATCCCAGCCAATTCCTATATAAATTGATTGGATTCACACTCTCACTCTAATAGGAAGATCAGATATGAGTGAATCCTAAGTTTTCCCCATTTTGCAACGCAGGTTTGACTCAAATACAAAACCATCAGAAGCACCAATAGCTACTTTGAAAGAAAATACACAATCCATGTGCATTGCCAAGAACAGGTGTGCAGTAGAATGAAAAACAAAGGGGAAACACACACACACTCCTTATCATGCTTATTAAAAATGTCCTCCGAAGGTTAATGTGATGAAAATCTGTCTGCAAATTCATGGCAAGAATTTCCAAGACACTGATTTAAAGCCCATTTGTTAGCCAATAGGCTCAGAATACGTAACTCAAGACTCATGCAAAGGCATTTTTTAAAGGGGGGAACATAGTATGTATTCTCTAATTCCAGACGGTGCACAGTCCAATATTTTATAGATAATTGATTTCAGTTTCAATATATTTCTAATTCCCATGACTGACCAACATAGAAACACACACACAAACACACACACACAAACACACACACACACACACACAGAGAGAGAGAGAGAGGGGGGGGAGGGAGAGAGAGAGAAATTTCTTCTCTGGTTGTTAGTGCCACACATTCTCAATTGTACTATACTGTGTGTGGCTAAGTGTGCTAAGAAAAAACGAAGAGGAAGGAAAAGGAAGCACATAAGGCAGAGGCTGAAAAAAATATTTTTAACTCTTAAAAAAAAAAATCAGTCAGGCTTAAAGGTAGAGAAAAATAACTTGTGATCCAAATAAATAGAGAAGTTTGTTTCAGGAATGGTGGAGATCCTATCATTGATTGCCCAAACTTTATTTCATAAAGTTTGGCCCGCCAGTTTAATTTCAATTCTGCTTATGTATTTTAAATTTTAAATCTCTTTCATGTATTTTGTTTGTTGTTGTGCTTGTGTGTTTTTAAAACATTTCTGGTCATGGACTGAAATCTGTTTGTCTGTCTATCTATCTATCTATCTATCTATCTATCTATCTATCTATCTATCTATCTATCTATATCTTTCTATCATCTGTCTGTCTACAGTATCTATCTATCTCTATCATCTGTCTGTCTATCTATCTTTCTATCTATTATCTATCTATCATTGTCTGTCTGTCTGTCTCTGTCTCTCTCTATCTATCTATCTATCATCCATCTGTGTATCTATCTATCTATCTATCTATTTATCTATCTATCTATCTATCTATCTATCTCTATATCTATCTATTTTCTGTCTCTCTCTATCTATCTATCTATCTTTCTATCTATATCTTTCTATCATCTGTCTATCTATCTATCTATCTATCTATCTATCTATCTATCTATCTATCTATCTATCTATCTATCATCTTTCTCATCAATCATCTATTTCTCTTATCCACCCACGCACCCACCTACCTAGCTATCTATCTCATAGAAACAGAAAAAATATAGGGGTTGGACTAGAAGACCTCATAAGGTCCCTTCCAACTCTGTTATTCTGCCACTGACTATCCTATAGAATACTCAAGAGTGTGCTCAGATAAATTAAGCGTGGAATATCCTTTTGGTAGGTATTGATACAAGGATGTTCAGATACACATGGGAACGCTACTCATTAGCAGTCTGGATTTATACCACACTTTTAGTTTGCCAGACACACAACAATGGTGCTGTCTAATTTGACTTGGGGATTTTGTACAGAAACGGCAAGACTTGGGGGGAAGGGGGAGGGGGGAATGGCTCCTTCACAAATCTTCTGTGAGTGATCATCTTCTGTTAGCGTTGATGCGGTTCTCAAGATGACAGCCATCACATCAGATTACACAATGTTGCTTATGATGACATCTGACAACAATGAACGACTGAAGGATTCAAACAAGCTCAGGACAGGTAAGGGATTTTTACGGATACCTATTCCTTCTCTCCTCTTCATAATATATGTTGAAGATACGCCATGCAAAATAAGAGGGAGATGTACGACACATCTTACGCCGATCCCTTGTCCAAACTGCCTTTAGGTTTTTGTAGAGGGGAAAAAAACAACACTCCATCTTGCAAGCTCCAAGACTGTTCAAAATCATGTTTTATCCATGCACAAAAGAAATGCAGTCCTAAGCACCTTTACTTTAGTACCAAATCTCTAGCTACTTAGTTGGAATAAATGCTTTTTTTCTGTTTTCTCTCTGAGGCATTGTGTTTCATTACAGAAAACTTGACAACAACAACAACAAAGCAAAGAGGAGCTGACAGTTCTGGGATCATCACCTGACAGGAGTGGGACTAATCCTGAGAGAGCAGATCTAGGACTGGTCATTTCTCCTCATCCTCACAGGTTCTGCTCCGTAAGAGGTACAAGCCACATCAAGGGGGCAACAACTTCAGACACATATTTGTTTGTTTGTTTGTTTGTATCCTGCCTTCACTATTTTCATGAATAACTCAAAGTGGTGAACCCTCCATCCCTATTTTTTGCAACATATCCTTGTTGCCTGAGGCAGGAGAGCCTCCCAACAGGAGTTCACATAATCATCGTCACATAGCTAGACAACTACAATGAACGCCACTCTTGAAGGACATCCGGAGGTTTTAGTTATCCCACAATCCAGCAGGGCATTCATTGGCTAGCATTGACCTCTGGAAAGTTAAGTGTAATCTCTGAACCCTACATTAGCTTTCGGTTTAGGGAGCAAGTCCCAAGGATCTTCTGGATTATCTTCTTCAGCTGGAATCAACCAACCCAACCGCTGAGAGTCCTCCATTTCTTCAAGGCCACCCCATGAAGGTTCAAATGCAACAGTTTTCTTCTTCTAGCACCACTAGTTTGGAAGAGCTTCCCACTTTAACTGGAATTGGTCCCTACAGTTTTGGCTTAGCAGAAATTATTGAAAATATCTACAGTGATTCATGGTGCCTAGAGCAGATGACTGGTCTATGCTTTTAAAAACTATTGTATAACCATGCATTTGCAATTCTGGATATATTTTTAAAAAAATTTCCATTGCTGTAAACCACAAAGGGTGCTAAAATTGGTAATAAGTCTGGTTAATAAATAAAGAGGGAGGAAATATTACATTTTTGAGGGCTCAGTCAGTCTGGATTTCCATTGATACAGTATATAAAATAAATAATTAAAGTAAGCGTGGTCAATACATTTTGAATTCTTAGCACTAGCACTTAGACTTATATACCGCTTCACAGTGGGGGAAATGTTATTTTCAAGTAGATTAAATGGAGAAATGAAAGCTCTTCAATTCAGTGGAAGACTGTAAGAGCCTGAAGCCTTGTCAAGGACACCAGAACAGGTGTGGATTTGAAGCAGACGGTTCCCATAACAAAGTGAACTTGTTGATATGAATTACATAAAATGTTGGGGTTTTGGCTGGGAAAATTATTGTTTAAGTGTATGAATTGGTGTTGGAACCTCAGAATTAGTTTTGCTTCGACAAAACCATACAGTGTATTTTAAGAAACAGTAAGATTTTTGGAAGCGGAATGAACCTGGAATTTTATTGGGATTCTTGAATTGGATGTTGACAGTTCTTTGCTGGCATGGGATTAGCCTGGAGTTTCAGAATATTAGCTTGCACAAGGCTACTGCGAAACACAGAGCTTAGCATCTCCTGGGTGTCTTTGTGAACTTATTCTATTTGTAGCTCTAACTCCCATCAATGGCAGCTCATGATATAAACTCATGTCCTGGCATGTAGATTTGGAACCAATTATAATATGTATTCTGGAGCCGGTGTAGTGGAAAAATACCACTTTGGGGGTAGTAATAACTTGTCAAAGCATGTGGGCTACGTCATTGTTACCAAGAACAACATGAAAGTATCCAAACAAATAAAGGGACTGATAAAAAGATTGATTGCAGGAATCGCCTTGCAATCATCAGAATAACATTCATGAAAAGAGGCCTCTCTCTCTGATTCTCCACGTTGCCTTTTTCTGCCTTCATTGATAGCTAAATTCAGGAGTCCTCAACTTAACGATCATTTGTTTAACAACGTTACAATGGGACTGAAGAAAGTGACTTACGACTCATCCTCAATGTTATGACCACTGGACCACCTCTGTGGGCAAGTGATCACAATTTAGGTGCCGGTAACCAGCTTGTATTGACAATGATTAAAGCATTTTTTTTTGCAGTCACGTGATCACCTTCTGCAACCTTCCAACAAGCAAAGTCAATGGGGGAAGCAAATGACAACTGTGTCATTTCCTTAATGACTGCAATAAAATGGTTGAAAATATCCAATTGGGTCCCATGGCGATTCATTTAATGACCACATTGCTTAGTGATTAAAATTCTGGTTCCAAATGTATTTGTAAATCGAGGACTACCTGTAAACTTTGCTACATACATCCTTCCACTTTTTTTCCACCCATCTTCCCATCTTTAGTAAATGTTTTACCAGGATACGCTCATTCATCTCCTTGAATAGTTCAGTTTTTGTATATAGCTTGTGATCCTTCACTGCGTTTTTCCTGTCAAGCACAAGGACTTTGCTCTCTGATGGACTTATGTTCCTGGAGGTTCAAATGCATCCTCATCACTGCATCGTACCTTCCGTTTAACATTTGCTGCAAATTCATCCAAGCTCCACACAAAAATAGACAGGCATTCACCTTGCCACCTCACTGCAAGCATTTTTACACATTTGTGTGGGGTTTTTTCCCCCTGTTTCATCCTGAGTTTTGTTGAAGAGCTCAAGGCAGCCTATATTTTTTTTTTCTCCTTGGGCTAAGAGAGAATGACTGGCCTAGGGCTACCCAGTTAGCTTCTGTAACCAAGAGTGGGCTTGAAACGTGAGTCTTCTCAGCGATGCACAGAAATCTAGAAAATTCATGGCAGAGAAAGACCCAGTGGTCCATTAAAAATAAAAAAAAAACCTTTGGATTTTTTGTTTGTTTGTTTGTTTTTGTTTTCTTCTCAATTTATTTATTATTTTTAATACTTATTTCTTATTATTGTGGCTCCTAGCAGAGTCAGTCAGATGTTCAGGGTGGATCTGGCATTTTTGTAGACCTATCAAGTCCTTTTCAAGGACCCCTGGGATAGGCAAACGTGGAAGTTTGATGGCAGAAAACATCCTGCAGATGAAAAGGCCCCACACCCATTTGCACCACTCAGGTGACCCTGAGGACACGGACAAATCCCCAACTGGCCTCAACGACTCTCTAAAATAATGCAAATGACCAACTGTCTACAGGGAGCATAAATCCTTCCATTCCCCACCATCCAGTCATAGCTGAAGAAGCTTCTTGGATGAGAAGCGAAACATCTTCAGAGACAAGAAAGTCCAGTTGTCTCCTGAAAAAGCACCTTTGGGGTGTTATTTATTTTACTTTTTGTAATCTTTGTTGGAGGATAGCCCTGTGTTTATCTCAGGCATGTTTAAACTCATGATTGACCCACTCCCTTTGCTGGAAGTTGGTGCCGACCTCCCACTACCCTTTCTGTGAAGTCATACTAGCTCACGTTACTTTTTTTTAACATTAACCGCTGTACTATAAAGTCTCTCCCTAATGGTATGAAACAAACCAGGGGACTTCCCCTGTCTTTACCGTATCTTAGTCTCTTGCAGGCAAATGGCAGGCAGATCACATTCTCTGGAAAGGGAGAAGAGCCAGTCTGGACGATTGGACCAGAGGTTATTCTTCCCTCATTTCCAACAATTGCATCTATTCAGATTTCAGTCAATTGGTCTTATTATCCTAGACATCAACAGTTTGGCCTACAGACGGCTTTCCGGCTTTCCTTTTTCAACCGAGAGCAAAATAAATGACTAGAGCAGCAGGGAGATACAAACCAGCAGGTAAACATCAGCCAGGCATTAAAGCCTTGTCTGGACAATCAGAGGCCACTTCAGAGAACGTAGCGGGAATCAATCACTTCCCTCATCTCCCGACCGCAAGCATTTTTTCCAACGAAGCTCTGAAGCTCATCCGCCAATTTGCACACATAGGCAGAGGAGCCAAAGAAAAGATTCACATACAGGTTGAAGCCTTAGCATCTCCACTTGAACAGATCAGGGAGCAGAAGACACAACCCCACAATCTTAAATCCCTAGTCAGAGGAGGTTAACAGGTTTTTTCCCCGGGATCCTGAAGAAAAAAAAATCTGCACTCTGTAAAGATAGCTTTTCGGGTACCAAATGCTCCTTTTAACGTGTAACCAGGATTTCTGCGGTTCAACTCTGTGCAAGTTGCAGGCAACTCTCAACACCACAGCTTACACACCGAGCAAAGGTAATCAGGCAGAATGTGTGCACCTCCATCTACCAACAATAACAATCACATCGGAGTACAGCCCTAACTTAGCAAAGGGAAGGATCCACCCTGAAACTCAGTTTCAAGGTTTACTCAAGTCAACAATATTTGTAGCCCAGGGTTGAACTTAGGGGTCCTTGGTGCTCTCTGAGCTTTTTTTTGTTTTCTTGCAAACCCAAAGATGCCTTTTTTCCAAAGGGAACTGGTCTTTGTTTTTCCTTGAAGATGTTTCACTTCTCATCCGAGAGGCTTCTTCAGCTTCTGGCAAATGTTTCACTACCCAAAGGTGACCGCGTCTGGGTGACGCAACGTCTGCAAGAAAACAACCAAGCTCAGAGAGCACCAGCACCCCTCATTTGCTCAAGTCAATGAAACTTAGCCAGAGTTTCTCATTTATGTTTATGAGCTGTGGGTTTTTACTCGCGTTTCTTTCCATTCCTCTGTTATTACCTAGAAATGAGGGTCCTTTATCATGTCCGGCAAATCACACTGCTCTATTTGTTTAAAGGTGACAAACTCCCACTCTGCATGCTACAAATGGCAGCTTAAAATCATGGAGGAAGAGCCAAGGTCCAAGTCCAAAGCTTGCCGTAGATCAGCGTTTCTCAACCTTGACAATGTTAAGCTGTATGGACTCCAACTCCCAGAATTCAGAGTTGGCTGGGGAATTCTGGGAGTTGCGGTCCATACAGCTTAAAGTTGCCAAGGCTGAGAAACGCTGCCATAAGATTATGGACGCACCAGCAGCTCCTCTTCATATCTGGGGTCATAAGAAGGTCCCATTGGGGTCTTGCATCAGGCAAAAGGTGCATGCTTTCAAGCATGCACCTTTTGCCTGATGCAAGACCCCAATGGGACCTTCTTATGACCCCAATGTTTTGCTTCCATCAGTTCCCACCACCGATTCCTCATCAACAAAGTGGCTTTATCCTGCTGGAGAACAAAGCTAGCAAAAAAAAACAGGCAATAAATCAGTATGTTGATCCTTGACAAAGTAGGCTAGATGCCTGTAACATGAATCAAACTTGTAATCAAAAGATGGACACCTTACCTAAGTGTCTCGTAAGCATCTCCTCTCCAGGAGCTGTGCCACCCTAGACCTTCTGAGACTTCACATAACAGGATCTATTTTCCTGCAATTGAGAAGAGAAACAGAGTTATTAGCATCTTCCAAATTACTTTGCAAAGCAGGGTAGACAAGATCAAGTTCCAAAGTCCTGATGACAAACATCTGTGGGAGGAGAAGGTGTCCCCAAAAGTCAAGGTGGCCACCACAGCTGAGTAACCAGGAGTGTCTCCTCTCTTTTTACATGCATTGTGTGTGTAACAAATATAACAAAAGAGAGGAGAGGGGTTTGATTGTGTGGCCAACAACTTACTTTTTTACACTATTTTTACACTAAAATAAAAATAAAGTCCTGCTTGATTGGCCTGGACAAATTTTCAAGGACACCTTTGTATACGAGGTATAGTGGTTTTATCTCTAGCTTTATTTCTGAGTACAACAAAATCCTGGGGGGGGGGGAAAAATCACTATCTTTTCCTTGTCCCCAATATATTCCTTGCAAATCCTACCAGGGGCTCATTCAGTAAATGACTGCAAAATTGGTATACAGTTTAAATTCTAATCTTCTTAGAAGATGTGAGTTTTGTCTTAATGTTGCAGCCAGAATTTACATAGACGGAAAGATCTATAATAGGTATCCATCGGTTTCCAGGATCAAGTGAGGTTTTGATTTATTTATTTTTTTGTTTTGTTTTTTTAAATGCTTTTAAACTCTCTATTGTTCAAGTGTCTTTTTTCAGGAAGCTGCCCGATTATAAACTTGTTCAGATATGAAGGTCTGCTGGAAAAGTCTCTGATTGAAAACTTTCCTTATAATTATCAGCCGTTGAGAGAAGTAACCTTCTTGAGAATACTTTATATCTTTTAGGTACTTTATATTTTATACTTCAGAAAATATATTTTTTCTGAATTGTAAGCCACCCAGACTGAGGTGGGCAGCCATAGAAACCCTACAAACAAACAAACAAACAAGCAAACAAACGAAATCTATTCCCCTTAGAATTTCAGCTGATCTCCAGAATAGGAAATATTTGTAGCTCGGCTTTTAGACTGTGGCTGTGGTTTGCTCTCCAAGCTTGTTTTGATATCATTCCTGGACGTTTCGTTACCAAACTGGGTAACATCATCCGCAGGATTTCCTTGTCCTATTTTCCTTGGGCCAGTGGGCTCAGATGCTGTGCAACTGGTTGTTTCTTAGGAGCTATATTTGAAACAAGCTTGGGGAACTAGCCAAAATCTAAAACCCGAGCTACACGTATTATTTCACTGCACAGTAATTTTACACATTGCGTTTCTGACTCTGGTCAGTATTCGTAATATTCGGCTACCAGCTAAACGGTCCCAGACTGGCAATCCTAAATTCAGGGTATTAGATCCCTGTGTCCTATGCAATTCTCTGGTCTTCTCCCTTGCCTATCATTAGAACTAAATCATTACATCGCCCACACGTTCAAAACTGGTTTGAAGCTGCAGGGACAAACAGCTTGTGGTGCATGGAAGAACTGTGTCTACTCTGGGTCAGAAAAATCCTCATCCCAGCCTTCTGCAAAGGTGCATATTGTCCATATTTCAATATGGATGTAGCCTCCAGCTGCCCTTCCCAGGTGCGAGAACAACATAGGGACATCAAAGGAAGCAGGGGCTCCCTGAACCAGTAGGGGGCGCACTAAAACAGCCAGCCACTGGCTGGTGTATATTCTTGTTTATGGAGAAGGGAAATGTCTATTATAGGCAACATATTTCTCTTGTGGTTATTTGGCTAAAGGAATCAAACTATCCACGCACATAAGAGGAATAAAATTTCTGCGGCATCATGGCAAAGTGCTATGGAGAAAAACCCTCCATCTATCCGATTCTGAGCCGCATATTTTATTTTATTTATTCCCCCCCCCCCCCGTAGGCGGGCAGTTAGTTTTTTTTCTAACTGGCTTAATGCAGTTTAAAGCAACATTCCAGCAGTTGAGTGGGATCAGCAGAGCAAGGAACAGCAAAGAAAGTGGGTTAAGCGCTGACTCACATCATAAACAAAATTGCTGGATTTAAAAATGCAAAAAGGACACAAACGCTCGCAGCAATGGGGAAGCACGTTTAAGCATCAGCAGGATATTCACAGAATGCAGAAGGCTGAGCTGCTCAACGCTATCAGCAGATGCCTATGGAGATCCTCAATCATCCAGGTCATGGTTGTCCCAAAGGTGTTTTTTTTTTTCCAAAAGGCAACTGGGAACTGGCGTTTTTTTGTCTTTGAAAATGTTTCACTTCTCATCCAAGAAGTGAATGAAGAAGCTTCTTGGAGAAACAGTGAAACATTTTCAAAGACAAAAAAAAAACAAACAAAAAAGTCCAATTGCCTTTTGGAAAAAGCCGCTCTGGGCCTATCAGTGGATATTCAAGGACACCTTTAAAATGTTGTTAGGTTTGAGTGATGGTGACAGTTTTGAAGGGAACAGCATAAAAAAAATCTCAAGTCCTATTTGGCTTCAAGCAACAGTGATTAGTATTTGTATGTATTTATATGTAAGGGTGTAAGTTTATACATATGTTGTATATAGCGTGTTTAAATGTGTGTTATGTATGTGTGCACTTTTGAGAGCAAGCAACTAAATTTATTTCATTTTTAATGTGTGTCAATGTGCCCACAGCAAAAATGATAATAAAGGTTATCTATGTATCTATCTATGTATCTATGTGTCTGTCTGTCTGTCTGTCTGTCTGTCTGTCTATCTATCTATCTATCTATCTATCTATCTATCTATCTATCTATCTATCTATCTATCATAGGCTGGGACCTCACGACACATGTCAGCCTTTCTCTGCTCCTCCAGATGTTCAAGTCAGTCATGAGGTTTGCTAAGTATTTGCAGTTATTTTTGGTTTTCACATTATAAAAGGGATTCATACCTGTTTGTTTGTTTGTTTGGAAGAGCCTTAAAATATGGCTTCAGAACAGCAATACTCTAGTAACAATGTTTTGTTTTGTTTTAATTTTGCTTTCCTTCTCACACCCAGTCTGGTTTAGAAGAGATATTTCTGCTTCAGGATGGAATCTGTTGCATCACTCACTCATTCATTTTGCACAATTGCTACTACAGTACACTCCAAAGTGGAAAATTGGGGGATGGACTGCCAAGGCAGTTGTGCAAAATTCTGCCAGACTTGTAAAGATGGGCGTTGATCTAGCTACTCAAGAGAGGAGAGATGAGGTCACTGCCTTCTCAGTTGCCACAACAAGTTGGCAGATGGGACCACTGAATCTCCCCACCCCAACTTTCATAATTAGGAGGAACAACAACAACGAGAGCCAAAAGGGAGAAAAATGGAACCATTCCTTAATTTCCATACTTAAAAGGCAAATCTGGAGCAAAACACTCTAGGAGGCAAATCTGCGTGTAATTAAGGGCAACAAATGCTATTTAAAAAGCAAAACAAAATAACAGCGCTGGGCAAGACCATGGAGACTTTGTAGCCCAAACCCCTGCTCAAGCAGGAGATCCTACACCATTCCAGACAAAAGGGGATCATGTGATCCCGGGACGCTGCAAGCCATCATCAATATGAATCAGTTGCCAAGATCCAAATTTTGATCACGTGACCCACGGATGATACTGCAAAGGTCTTCAGTGCGGAAAAACGGCCATGCCGCTTTTTTTCAGTATCGTTGTAACTTCGAAAGTCACTGAATGAACTTTGTGCCTGCAGTGCAGAATAGAGTCCATATTTTCTGAAGACTGGAAAACTCCCATCAAATTCCTCCATCATTTGACAGATGTAGAAACAGCCGGCTAGATTGCTAAATACCTCATTCTCCGGCCTAAAGAGAGACACCCAGCCAAGCCCCGAACAAGGGCCTGTTCACACATGTTGCACTTGGCATCCTGGGAACGGGGCAATGTTGAGAAGTGAGGAGCTTTTGAGTCCTTCCCAAATGTTGCCCTAGACATATCAATCATTGTTTGGAGTAGAGCTGCCAGCTTGCAACCTACAAACGTTCTCAAGCCTGAAGCAACCTCTTCCCTCTTGCGTTACTTTTCATTTGCTCTCTCTCTCTCTCTCTCTCTCTCTCTCTCTCTCTCTCTCTCTCTCTCTCTCTCTCTCTCTCTCTCACACACACACACACACACACACACACACACCCTTTGTGGTTTACCTGGAACCTCTCATTATGACAGGGAAATAAAAGAAATATTGCTTGGGAGGAGGTTGGATAGAAGAAGACAGAAGGGCCAAGTTTGAAGACCCCTGTCTTAAATCTAACAAACAAAATGGAGGCTGGCTGAGGAATTCTGGGAGTTGAAGTCCACAAGTCATCAAAGGGCCACGTTTGAAGACCCCTGTCTTAAATCTAACAAACAAAATGGAGGCTGGCTAAGGAATTCTGGGAGTTGAAGTCCACAAGTCATCAAAGGGCCACGTTTGAAGACCCCTGTCTTAAATCTAACAAACAAAATGGAGGCTGGCTGAGGAATTCTGGGAGTTGAAGTCCACAAGTCATCAAGGGGCCACGTTTGAAGACCCCTGTCTTAAATCTAACAAACAAAATGGAGGCTGGCTGAGGAATTCTGGGAGCTGAAGTCCACAAGTCATCAAAGGACCACGTTTCAAGACCCCTGATCTAACCCTTTCAACATTATCATCCTCATTATCCTCATTATCATCATCATTATTAAGTTCCAGGATTGTATTCTGCCAATCGTCTATGGAGATCCTCAATCATCCAGGTCAGGGTTGTCTCAAAAGTGCTTTTTCCAAAAGGCAAATGGACTTCCTTGATTTTGTTTCGTTTTTCCTCTTGAAAACATTTTTTTCTTCTCATCCAAGAAGCTTCTTTAGTTTTGACTTCAGAACTTTTTTGGATAAGAAGCAAAATGTTTTCAAAAAAAAACAAAGGAAGACTAGTTGCCTTTTGAAAAACACCTTTGGGATATCTTCTGACTATTTCTCCCACCCCACCCCCAAATTAGAATCACAGAATAATAAACTGGAAGGACTTTGGGGGTCTTCTTGTCTCCTTTCCCCCACTGGGCCACCAAGCCACCAAGATTGGGGTCCCCTGATGTGGAGCCCAAA